AGAGCTGCTTGGGCGGGGCGAGTGGGCCGCGTGGCGATCGGCGGAGGGTCTGAGGGCGAACTCCAAGACTGGGCGAGGGACAGGCCCGGAGACAGATCAGACATCATAGTCCAATATGGGGAGATACGCGATGGCGATCTATTACGGGAACAACTGGCAGGAGGACTACAGGAAGAACCCGACAACGACCGACGCGACAGGGAGAAACGTGATTCAGAGAGTCAGAGAAGTACGCCCTAGCATATCGAACCCTCGCTCACTGGTGTCAGCGACTGGAGGGCCGCCCAGAACTAGCGCAGCGACCCGACGATTCGAGAAACTGTATTACAAGAGAGAGGATCCTGATTCCGCGAGTTCGCGGTTTACGAAGACCAGGGTCTAGATCGCGATGGCGCCGGAATGAAGGATGCGCTCCTGGATGCGTGGATGGCGCAGTCTAGCAGGATAGGCTAAAGGGACTCAGGATCGAGTCCGCGCGTAAGGATCGACGTGGAAAACCTAAGAGAGCAGTGCGAGATATGTGAAGTCGATGTGGCTGGCGGGAAGCGAAGATGCCCCCAGAGAGTTTTTTGAAGGGGGTGGTCGCTTTCCCTGAGCCCTGCGCGAAGAATCTGACCCGTGCAGCGCGAAGAGAGAATGCTGGCCGCGCCGCATCTTCCTGGGACTCGCGGTGCCCCGCGGGGCGGCGCCCCCGCGGGGGGCCAGGGTCGGAGGTGGATAGACCTCCTACCCTGACACGTCGATTCAAGAATTGGCCGTTTTAGGTTCGCGAGAGGGCGCCGCGGCCGTCATTTTTGCGGGCCCAGGTCCGTCGGTTTCGGTCCCAGGCCGTTGTCACTACAGGGAGGTTTAGTAAAGTTAAGCCGGGCCTGTCTCCCTACAGGGGGATTTTCGACGACAAATAGAAATTACCCCCAACATAGTCAAAGAATAGTCCAAAAGTAGCCTGGGGACTATTTTTTGACCTTTTTGGTGCATTTTTGGGGTATTTTTTATTTTTCGTCGAACATCCCCCTGTAGGGGGACAGGCCCGACATAATGCTAAAGGGAGGCTTGTCCACCGCCGACGCGGGCGCCGCCCGGGTGAAGGCCTGCGGGTCGGCGATCGGTGCCCACGGCCAGAGGGCAGGGCGGCCGAGGCGCGCCCCCGGGCAGGGGCTCGCGCGGAGGGGTGCTCGACTCTGGCTGGCCGAGGCCGCGCGCGGCCGCGGGGGCGCGACGCCGCAGGGGGCCGCGGCCGGCCGCCAGGCCTCCTCCTCCTCCCCTCCTCCTTTCCCTCCTCCTCCTCTCCTCCCCCCCCCCCACCCCTCTCCTCCTCCTCCTCCCCCCCCTCCTCCTCCTCCTCCTCCTCCTCCTCCTCCTCCTCCTCCTCCTCCTCCTCCTCCTCCAGGCCCTTTTTGCCCAGACCAGGGAGTTTGCGGGCCCCCTTGCTTCTGACCCGCACAGGACACACCTCGCCTGCGTACCGCTCCCACCCACCATATGGGCCTCTTTGTTGCAAGCCGTACTCTACAATCCTCTCTCGATGTCATATTCATGGCGTACACACTACATTTCTTCTCGTCTTGGCTTTGCGGACCTGATCATGTGCCCAGCGACGCAGAGAAAAAAGGCGCCCTGGGGACGGAGTCGCGGTACAGCAGAGTGCCAAACACATGGTGCTCGACTTCGGATGGCAAGAAGGCAGATTCACTAACAAGTCGGCGGGCTGCAGTTTGTTCCTGCGCAAGAGAGTATTCAGACGCAGCCATATCCAGCAGATATACGAGCCGCCGAGTGACTTGGCGGGGCGTGCGGGAGGGGTGAGGCTTCGGAGCAACTCGTTCGACATACTCGCTATAGTCGTCTACTTCCCCCCCTCCCAGCGCATGCAGGTGGATCATTGGAAGTCGTCGGTCACACGCCTGGCCAGCTGGATACAGAAGACCATCCAGAATGCCCCCGCCTGGTGCCTCGTCGTGATAGAAGCTGACTCGAATTGCGAGTTCGGCAGGCGCGTGACAGGCGGAGGCGCAGTCCAGCAGACGGCAGATGATGTACACCTCGGCACCCACAACATAGGCGCAGAGAACTTCACCAGTCAAGAATTATGGAGACTCATGTCCATGGAGGGGCTTGCGGTGGTGGACTTCTTCTACGCCGCTGGCTCCACGTACTTCGGACAGGAGAGCGAGCACACGTCGCATCCTGATCACTTTTGGGCCCCGACTGGGGCCATCTCGTCTACGGTTTCTTGCTGTACGATGAGGGGAGCTATGAGAGGCTTGCAAAAAAAAATCCGCACGCGTTGCCGAAGGACCACTGCCCTCTGCTGTGGAGGCTACGCTACAAGCTGCACTTCGATGTACCCGACACTGAGCTGGGGCCGCGCTGGGATCGCGACTGCATGGCGAAGTTGCTCAGCGACGAAGGCTCACTGGGGCTGATCGGAGAGCTTGAGAGGCGATGCGAGGCTCATGCTACTACATGGAGAAGCAGCTCCCGTCTGGATGACCCGTCTGCGACGTGGATGGCCCTGGTTCATGACGTTCGCGAGTCAGCCCTTGAGGATTACCGAGCAGCAACGAGTACTGGGCCCACCGCAGAGTACCGACATCGTCGAGACGAGCTTCTACTCAAGCGTCGCACCCTGGGCCGCAACTGCTTCACTGAAGAAGATCGCATGGCCATTCGCCGGTGTGATCGAGAGATGCGTCGAGGGAGATGTCGCCTCGATCGTGGGAATGTTGACCGCATGTTACGATAAGCTCAGCATGCCGCTGATCGTGGTCACTCGAGTACCGTGTGGAAGTTGGCTTCCAGGTGGGTGCGAGATATCGCGGAGTCCGTCGACGCCGATTCACTACGCTGCCACAGTACCTGCCGACCCTTCACGAGTGGACCGACGCCATGCAGGCTGGCGCCCGCGAGGGAGGGTTCTCGGCTGTTCTCGTCCCTGATCCAGAGACCCCCTCGGGGTTCGCGTTGGCACTGCGTGGGCAGGGCGATCCTGATGGCGATTGGAAGCAGCTCAGAGGTCATCCGTCGTCGTCGGTGTACACATATTGGACACAGACGTTGGCGGCTTTGGGGAAGGCGGCGCGTCGTCGCTTTGCGCCGTCTCATTCGGCGCCTGGAGAGATATGGTTGGCGATTCTGAGAGCGGCCTCCGTCGAGGCCCGAGGAGACGATAGTCGCAGACCTGCTGCGGATCGAGATCGAGGAGAAAGGCCGCGACCTCACGTTCCTTGTCTTCGTCTCGCTGAGCGGTTGCAGGCATTGTCTCGCCAGATTCGCACGTCGTGTCGAACTCCCTCGTGGTGGCATTGGTCTCGAACGTTCCAATTGTCCAGAGGCAATGCCAAGCAAGGGGCAAAAGCGATGCGGCTGATCCACTGTTTCTGCCCTTTTGGCAAAGCGTGGTATAGAGACAAGTTCACGCGTCACGAGAAGCCCGAGCTGCCGTGCCACGCCCGCGGGCATGCGCGCCATCGCTCTCGCCAGGGAGCGCAGCTTGTATCGCGTCTACACTCTTGGAGGCGTCGGAAGCTAGGAGTATCGCACCTTCAGATGCAGAAGGACATGAGCAACTCTTTCCCGTCCACTAGTCATGGTACATTGGCTGAAGTTGTTGGCGCTACCATCCCCGACCTTCAGGATCAGCAGCTTCTCTTACAGAGGCACAGACAAGCAGTGATGGAGGTTCGAACAGGAAACGAGACCGCCTACTATGTTCCTCGGCGCGGCGCTGGCATGGGCGACGGCAATGCGCGTGAGCTGCTTGTGGGGTCGTTTGCGCGGCCGCTGGTGGGCTGGAACCGCGCGCCGCAGACCACTCACTCGGACTCCCTGCGGATTGGCGAGACCGAGGTGCCGCTCATTGAGGCGTCGACGCTGATCGAGTGCCCGTGCGCCAAGCAGCTCATTGACTTATCTATGAGAGACTGCGCTGGTGCTGTCTCTCGGACTCATCCGCTTCCTGACGACAACCCGTTCCGTGCCGCGGCCCTCGCCTCCGCCTCCAACGCCTTCCTCAATAACAAGTTATCCGAGCAGGGGGGCTTCGCCCAGAACGCCGACAAAGAGGTGGTCCTCCCCGTCTTCGTGGGCTCTGGAGGGTACACTGCGACGAGGGCCGTCCTGTCTGGGACCATCTTGAGGTTTCCTGGAGTTCCGCGGGCCCAGACGGAGTATCTTGGGAGCGTTGAACAACTCACGGGGGGCTGCGGGGCTGAGATCAGAGCTCGAGGGGATGCGACCCGTTCGGCCCGGTGTAAGCTAGGTAGGTTCTGGAAGCAGCACGCGGCCCTCGAGCTTAAGCGCATGGCCTTCTTGGGGGTTCTCCACAGCGCGGCCTACTCGGGCCTTGAGACGTACATCTTAGGGAAAATTGACTACAACAGGCTCGACAAGGTCATCTTGGGGTTCGCTAAGGTGGCCCTACGTGGCGTCGCTCGTAGGGTGGAGAAGGAGAACATGAACGAGTTAGGACACCTATGGCTTGGATGCTCCATAGGCGCTTGCGCATTGCAGATGCACGTGCGGAGTTGCTGGTCAGACGCATTCGATACTGGCAGGACCTTGCGCGCTACCCTGAGGCGTCGGTGCAGGCAGTTGCGGCCCTGTTCGGTCATTTTCCCGCTCTACAGGATCGGCCTGTGTTTCTTGAGAACGGTTGGGTGCATCATCGTGCGAACCCTTGGGCATTGCAGATGCAAGAAGATATCCGCACGCTCCGCGTCACCCCGCACGGCAGGCAGTTCCTCGACCAGGGCCACTCGGTTAGGGACATCTTTACCGAGTATAGGATCGCCACGGCGTTTGGCAGCATCGACCCCAAGGGACTCCGCAGGGCCTACTGGGAGCACCTGGGGCTCCCCCCCACCGGTTCCTGAGCCTCAATAGTGCGTCTGCGAGTGGCCCAATGAGACGGGGGAGCCCTGCAATATGGCATTCGAGTCTCGTGGCGCTCTCAGGGCCCGTCTATGCCATCGTCCCGCCCATAAAGCTCGAGTACCCGTCCATCAGTTAGTAGTGACTAACCAGTGCTTCCATTGCTCCTCGACGTTCTCCTCGGATGTTCTCGCTCGGAGGCACGTGGTCCAGTCCCTTAAGCTTAAGCGCTGCCTGGCCGACTTCAGCCCGTACTCCCCTGCCCTCAAGGCCCCCGAGGTCTTGACCAGTCCCGTGTGCGTTGATCCTGACAGCGTTCATTCTCACCGTCGTGGGCGTCTTACCGGAGCCGTTCGGGCTCAAGGTGAATTTCAGACGCTTGCTGCGTTGCAGCAACACATGCGAGAAGTGCATGCCCCTCCAGCACCTGATCTTTGCTTCGATGTCGAGTTTGGCAGAGCGGGCCTGGAGTGCTGATACAGAGCAGCGCGCGCAAGAGCTGCGCGGCAGGCAAGGCCAGGGCGATCGGACACGCAGCGGAGAGCGAGGCGCAGGGCGACGTCGGGGACAAGGAGCAGCTCGCTCGGCAGTCGCCCCCGCCGCGGGCGGCCTCGGAGCATCGGCTGCGCAGCCTGGCGGCGCTGCGGGTCACCGCGCGGCGCCGCCAGGAGGGCGCGACGCACTGGCGCTGGCGGGCAACCGCTATGGCTTGGCGCCCGCAGACGTGCAGCGACTCGAACACATGCCGATCGAGTGGATCCAAGCCGCCAGCCCTGTGCTCATGCGCCTAGCGCTGCGCCACGAGCTCTCCATCAATCACCTCGAGGCGGCGGCGTTCAGGCATGTGCAGATGCCGAGCAAGCGCGAGGTAGTCTTGTCGATGCAGTTGACAGCGAAGTTCTACGGCCAGGAAGCGGCGAGGCATCGCAAAGAGCACGCACATCAGGTCCAGGCAGGCCAGGTGGTAGCAGAGCTCGAGGAACTGGGGATTCCTCATCCTCACGTCTTCCTGGCCCCGCTCGGAGCTCTGCTGGCCCAAGAGGAGAAGATAGGCCAGCTCAACCACGCGGCCCTGAAGGGGTGCGAGCGGCAGATCAAGCAAGAGAAACCAGACAACTCCAAGCTGGCCGACAAGATCCTCCACTGCCGCATGCAGACCACCCACTCGGGCGAGTTCGTGAAGGTGTGGCTTGCCGTAGAGCCGAAGCAGATCGAGCACGTGATAGTCGACTCCCTCGTCCAGCTCGGGGGCAAGCACAAACACGGCGTCCCTCCCAGGAGCCACGGTGCGAGGGTGATGCAGATTCATTTCGACGGACTCGACAACCTGTGAGAAGGGCAGCGCAGGCGAGGTCATCGACAGAGGTGACCCAGGCCCCAGTGGTGCACCAATCTGAGGAAGAAGCTGCTCGCATTCGATCTATCTCAGCTAGATTTTTGGTGGCAGCATCAGCGCCCCCCTTGGGGGGGGGGCACGGTGTGCCGTCGACTCCCTCCTCGGCCTCGTCCCCCTCGAGAGCGAGTGCGGTTTCTCAGATTGGCTCGACGGCTTCCCTGATTGCACCTGCGAGTTCGGTCGCGGCCAGAGCGAGTGCGATTGGGGCTACTCCCTCTGCGCCGGGCGAGTCGAGAACTTCAGCGGACCCCTCCTCTATGTCCTCAGCTAGGCCGCCGAATCTGCCCTCCTCCTCCTCCCTGTCCTCCAGTCAGAACCTCCCTCTTAGCAGAGTCTTAAGTCTCCTTGGGCTGGCCCCCAGGCCGAAGTAAGTTTTTGTTTTCCTCTCGGGCCCTGGGGCCGCCCGAGCTTTCGCGTTTTGAATATTGTCGATGCCTTAGGGATTTTCGAGCCCGATTTAGGGCGGTCCCCACGTCCTTCCAGCCCAACGCGTTGGCGGGAGGGTAGTGCTTCGAATCCTCCCTGCACCCAGTTTTGCCCCTGCCCTTCGGCCCTGCCGTCTTTAAAACGCGGGCAATCCAGCCGTGGAAAGGGGGTGGGTGGGAGCTCTGTGCCACGAGGCCACGCGTGGACCTTTCAATGTTGGGGCCATGGCGCGCTCTAGAAGTGATTGTCAGTCAACCCGCCGAATGTTCCGAGCTTGTTTAGTCGGTATTGTGGGCGAGACCCGTGCTGGCGCACCTCTGCAGAGTCGTTCGTTCGTTCTCCTCCTTCTCCTCCTCCTCCTCCTCTTCCTGATCCTCCTCCTCCTCCTCCTCCTCCTCCTCCTCCTTCTCATCCTCCTCCTCCTCCTCCTCCTACCCATCCTCCCCCTCCCCTCTCCCTCCCCTCCCCCCCTCCCCCCCCTCCTCCTCTCCTCCTCCTCCTCCTCCTCCTCCTCCTCCTCCTCCTCCTCCTCCTCCTCCTCCTCCTCCTCCTCCTCCTCCTCCTCCTCCTCCTCCTCCTAGTCGCAGGCCTGACTCTGGGAGACTTCGCGGCGCCCCGTCGAGGGCCGACGGGCGCCCGTCGAGGAGGCGCCCCGAGGGCCCCCGTCGCGGGGGCGGGGCCCGCGGGAGGAGCCGGCCAGGCAGGCCATGGAGCGAGCGCGGAGGCCCCTCGCTCTGGGATCGCCGCGGTCCGGGAGGCCCTCTGCGGGGGTCCTCCCGGAGCCGAGTGCCGGGGGCGGGCTCCGCGAAGGATCGGCTCGAATCGGGGGTGGACAGAACCCCCAACAGTGACACGTCGATTAGTGAATTGTCCGTTTTCGGTTCTCGGGAGGGCGCCGTGGCCCTTATTTTCCAAGCTTGCGCCCGCCAGGTTTGGGCCTCAGGTCGTTTTCACTGAACCACGTTTTACTAAAGGGGGGTCTGGTCTGCACATCTCCGATCGAAGGGCCGAGGGGGGAGATCCTGGGGCCCAAGTTCGATCCGAACCCGAGGCCGGGCGCGGGCCAGAGCATTTACGCACGGGGTCGTCGGAGCGGACATTCGAAACCGCTTGGTGGAAGGATGCTGACCGACGCGCGGGGGGGGGGGCGCGTGGCGAGGCGCGCGACGACTGGGGACGAAAGTATTGCCGCAAGGATCGTGTCTGACGCCGGGAGGGGAGCGGACCGATGGCGTGAAGAAGACAAGACCAAGTAAAGGAACGACAAGATGACGGACTGCTTGACGAAGGTGGCTCACGCTATGGGGCAGTTTGCGGCCGGGCGAGGCCGCGGCAATCAGGCGAGGGCCGTCAGCAAAGTCGGGCCCACGATGAGTTGGTCGACCGCGGGGGCCGTCAGTGCAGGCCCAGGGGCGCCAAGAGATTGGTCGACGACGACTTCGAGCAGTGTTGCAGTCTGGCGGGAAACGGAGCTGGTGTGCTCCCTCGCGGGATGCTTGTAGCTTTCGGACCGTGGGAAGATAATCTACGAAACGATATGCCGAAGCGCGAGAGCGACCCGCGCGTTGACATCGGCTCCAACTGAAGTTACAAAAGTGGATAAGAGAGGGGCATCGCCGTCACCTAACTCATCCCTTCTCTATCTCTGTCGCACCGCTGTCCGGGCTCTGCAAGCATACCATTGTATTGTCTTTTGAAGGCCCGCGCGGATGTCTCTCCGGACCCCCCTGTTGGCGTTCCGAGGGCCGCCCCTGGCGCGCTCCGCGTGCCAGGGAAGGGGGTAGCCCGGCGCTGATCCAAGGAGTCCACGCGGACCTCGAGGAGTGTACCACTATGCAGCTTGTTCTTCTTCTTCTTCTCTAGTCGTGGGTCTTGTGTACGCCCTCCTCTTCCCTCCCTCATGGAACCGGTATCGGCGTAAGCGGCGGCTCTTCGTGAGGTCTCAAGCGCCACCCACCTGGCCCAACGTCTCGTTCGAGCACGCACACAACGAAACCGCGTGCCGCATCATCACCCTGATCCGGGCCTGACAGCTTGGGCTAGTGCGGGGGTCCCGCGCCTGTGGCTCGACTGGTCTCGCTGTTGCCCTCGCGTGCCTTGGTTCGGGAGGCCATGCGTGCCTTGGGATGTTTGTTGAGTATCCCCCCCCCCACTGGTGGTGGGGTTGAGTCGGGCGTGCCCCTCTACAGGAGGATTATTCCAAAATAGTCAAAACATAGTCAGGGGACAATTCTATGATTTATTTGGTGACTATTCTTGAGCATTTTTGGGGCCGCCGGTAAGGGGACATGCCCGACCTAAGGCTGGGCGGCTGAGTTGGCCCTGCTTTGGTTACGCTCAGCAAAAGGGGGGGCCGGTAGCAAATCATTGCAGCCTCGTGTGTCCTCGCAGTGCCGCCTTCAGAGTCCTTTAGCGTGCGCTAGAGTGGCAATCGATGAGAGAACGCCGATTCAGAGCGCCGATTTAGCATCGATCGGCGCCGACTTACTGTCGATCTAGCGTCGTCTAGCGTCGATCTAGCGTTGACCAGCATCGATTCAGCGTGGATTCAGCGCCGACTTGGCATCGATCGGCGCCGACTTGCCGTCGACCTGGCGTCGAGCAGCGCCCAGCAGCGTCGCACAGCGTCGATCTGCAAGAGCCCGCGGGATGGCGTGGGAGGCTCCCGTGTGGGTTGCCGCCGGAGGGGGGGGGGGGCGGGCCCGTCGTCGCCGCGGCTGGGCGCGGCCCGCAGAGGCTGCTTGCCGGCTCCGACCCCTGAGGGGACCGGAGGCCGACTCAGAGCGAGCCGGCCTTGGGCTTTTGGGCCCCCCCTCGACGACACCTTTTTTGATTTGCGGGGCGAGAGCGAACCTCTTCCGCTAGAAGCTGGGCGGGCTGCGCACAGCTTCAATTAGGGAGACAGGGCACAGGACGGCGGGGCCTCAGGCGGCCGGAGCGGGCGGGGCCCGGAGAACACCCCTCTCGACGACACGTGAGAGTGACCTTTCGCCGGAATGACCTTTGGTGCGGGCCCATCGGGGTCCCCCGATCGCAGAACTTGGTGCGGCAGTGGCGTCTTGCGCCTGTGTTCGGCCCCCCCGCAGCCCCCCCAAAAGCCGCGCACCGAAGGTTACTCTTACCCGGGGCCACTCTTGCGTGCAGTCGACCCTCGTCGC